GTATGACAACTAAACTTGCTAGTATAACTGCCATGTCTCTCTGCAACCTGAAGATATTAGTCCAGACTCTGATTAAAACATAACTTGTGCGTGACTAAAATCCATTTACTCTAATTCCCAAGTTTCAGAGTAGCAGCCGTGTTAGTCTGTATCCGCAAAAAGAACAGGAGTACTTGTGGCACCTTAGAGACTAACACATTTATTAGAGTATAAGCTTTCATGGGCTACAGCATCCGAAGAAGTGGGCTATAGCCCACGAAAGTTTGTACTCTAATAAATTTGTTAATCTCTAAGGTGCCACAAGTACTCCTGTTCTAATTCACAAGTAACTTAATTCTTAATCATTTCTGATACACTGTGAAGATGTTGTAGGTTAAGAAGATTTGATCCATAGCTCTTACAGTGGAGGCAATGTGAAATTTAATCAAATAGTAAAATGGTTTCGGAATGAAGTATTGCTACTTTTAATATACACCTCAGAAGTGTGAAAACTTCTTCACTGTGTGTGTACACTTCATGTACCTCTTCTCACTTAAGCGTATGATACATGTGATCAGAAATAAAATGTTGTAGTGTGGACATGTGATTCTCTTATCAGTAAACACTACAAAGTTTTCTGGCTGTAATTCTTGTTGTTCAAACTGGACTACTGCTGAATAAATTTTCCACAACCCCACTGAGAAAGCAGCTGTCTAGTATTGAAAACTTGAGCTGGAATTCAAGTTTATATTCTGCATTTTCTTTTGGTAGGTTAGCCCTGTCAGCTGTCTATTGTTCTCAGTTTCTGGGAGTATGTTCTCTGCCAGGTACGTAGCGCTGGTTTTAGAAGTATGGTAGAAAGCATGTTTTAAAGCTAGGAGGAAATTGTGCTGTCTCGAAAGATCTCTCTAAACCTTACTTGCTTAGTGGAGTGATATACATGTCTTCTGCGCACACAATATTGGAAAGAGTGGAGGTAGCAGATCTCTTGGTTTGATGCCTGAGACTGTTTTGCCTAATCCAGGAGAAGTGATGAAAGATAACTGCTGATAAACAAAAGATTTAAAATTAGCAGCCGTGTTAGT